AGCTTTATGCAGGGTAAACGGATTTATTTGGGTTTAGACTCCATTGGGAGTTGAGCATCTGAGTGCTAAAGACAAGCGCACTTCTGTGAGCTGTTTTTAGGTAACCTGCAGCTTTGGGACAGGAGATTCAGACCCTGGGTCTGTGTCTGGAGCCAGACGGGAGTGTCTGGCTCAGCAAGACAGGGTGCTGGAGTCCTGAGCTGGCAGGGAAAACAGGAGCAGGGGTAGTCTTTGCACATTGGGTGGCAGCTCCCAAGGGGGTTTCTGTGATCCAACCCGTCACAGCAGCTGTATAGGCAAAATGCAACATTTAACAGAGGAAGCATTGTTTATACCAGACAGAGTAATGATTCCCCCCGCACTTAAGGAGTAGAAAACATACAGGGTCTACACAATAGCATAATTTTCCCGACCGAAACAGAGCACACATATCCCACGGGAGCCTCAAAATGGTGAGTAATGGGGGCTAATTGTTTTAGGGCTGCACTGTCCTCTGGGTTTCTGTGCCTTGGGGAGAGCCAACAGCTTCAGGGGGCACCTACACTGAACACTGTCCCAACATTTTCCACAGGAGTTTGTCCTGGACGATATCTCGCTGCTGAGGGTGACCTGGGAAGCAAGGGAGGGTCTTCTACTGCAATGCGGCTTCTGCCCTGGCCCATATGCAGCTTGCCTGTGTGCAGCAATGGTCCCCCCACCCCTCGCGGCACAGTGGGGCGGACACGTTAGCCTGGCTGGGACAAGGACCACGGTGGCTCTCCCTATAAACCTGCGCAAGCGCATTGCACACGTTCTGGATGAGACATTTGAGGAGATTACCGAGGCAGATTACTGCAATGTGATAAACCACATCAATGCACTATTCTGCATCTAGGTATGCATGCCTAACCCTCCTCTGCCAAAGAGCCCACACCGAAAAAATTCCTTCCCGAAAAAAAAACCCGCTTACCGGGAACCTGTTCTTCTGTTTGTCCTCCACCAAGTACCGGCCACTGCGACTGGCTACCTTCCTCCTGGCTCGAGAATAGCTCCTGGCTGCATGGCTCCAGGGATTCCGGGGTGTCTCCATCCGGCCCACCACCATCACTCCCATTTTCCTCCTTCTCTTCCTCCTCCTCCTCCTCCCCCCCCCCACCGGCTCTGAAGTGTCCATGGTGGTGCTCGGAGTGAAGGTGGGGTTAACCCCAAGTATCACATCCAGCTCCTTGTAGAATCTGCAGGTCGCGGGGGGAGCACCTGAGTGGCCGTTTGCGTCGCAGGCTTTGCGGTAGGCACTCCGCAGCTCCTTGACTTTAATCCTGCACTGCAGGGCGTCCCGGTCATGGCCTCTTTCCATCATGTTCTTTGATACCTTCCCGAAGGTATCGTAATTCCTACAGCTGGAGCGCAGCCGGGGACTGGACAGCTTCCTCCCCCCAAACACTGATGAGGTCCAGCAACTTGCCATTGCTCCATGCTGGGGCTCACTTGGCGCATGGAGGCATGGTCACCTGGAAAGATTCGCTGATAGCACTCCATGCCACGCCGGGCTGAGCAAACAGGAAGGGGATTTTTAAAATTCCCGGGGAATGTAAAGGGTCGGTCACATGGTTGGTTACCTGAGGCCAGGGCAGTAGAGTTTGAACTGATGACCACAGTGGCTAGAACAGGCATTGTGGGATACTGCCGAATAATTCTGGAGGCCATTCACAGCGCATTGGCGGCCACACTGGTGCGGCAGCGCTGCAGCGGCAGCGCTGCACTCGCTATTCCTCTCGGAGAGGTGGAGTACATGCAGCGCTGCAACCACGGAGATACAGCGCTGCAAATGCCTTGCCAGTGTGGACGGGGAGTGAGTTACAGCGCTGGGGGCGGCTTTAAAGTGCTGCAACTCGCAAGTGTAGCCAAGGCCTATGAGATTCTGCAACTGCTTTTGCAGACTGCATAAGAAGAAACTCTGAAGTCAGAGGGAGACTCAGAGTTAGGGAAAGGACCTTGGAGGAGGCTCTCCCCACTGGCCTGGCCACTGAGCCCTCAGAACAGTTTCAAGGACTGTGAAGCCCAGATAAGTGGGTTTGCTTTTATTGAATGGAACTGTACATTTGGGAACAAGCCAGACTCCAGAGGGCTGCAAGGATGGTGAAGCTCTGGAGGGAAGAGTGGAAGACTTGCACTGATTGGAACGATACACTTGTTACTAAACCAGACCCCAGGAGGAGAAAGACTGGGTTGGAAAGCATTAATTGTACAGCATGTGTTGGAC